CCATCCCTGTCTACTCTGTGTGTGGAGGGTGTGGGAATGATTCTTGCTGTTAGGACTTTTTCCCTCTTTTGAGTTATTGCTTCTATAGGTGTAGGTCAAGTTCATCAAATTGTATGAGAATACTTATCTTTAAGGGAACAAAAAGCCTCATCTTTCTCCCTAGGAAGAACTGGTAGTTTCCAATTGCTGACCTTAAGGTTCGCAGCCCGATTCGTAACCACTACACTACCAGAGCTCCTTAATTAAGGAATAATAGTCAACAATTCCATCTTTCTAGGAATGTACCAATAATCTTTTAGAAGTCTCTTTGAGAAATGAAAATAAATAAAACAATTCTTTTTTGTTTGTTTGTTTTTAAATTCAATAAAATCATTCTATTTCTCTATGTGGCTTGCAACTCCTCTAGTGCAAATAATTCTAATGAATAGCATATTATCTTCTATTCTGAAACATATATGACTTAATGTTCAGTTGGTTAATTTTTTTTTTCTTTTACTTAATATTGAAATTCTGTGTAGTTTAATCCCATTTTACTTCAGAAGCCTTCCACATTCTACAGATAACCATCACCATTGCCATCCACCCTAGTACAGCCTTTGACCAATTGTGTCTTTGGGTAAACAATTGTTTACTTGTCAGGTAGAAAATACCAAATGATTCAAATTTTATTCACATTGACATTGGAAATCTTTAAAAAGTTTGTTCTCATAAAAAATGGACTTAATTTATTGCCTGGAAGTTAGTTCCAGAGTGTGACTTGGGACTCTGTTTTAGGAAATAAAATAATACAACTAATAGGGTCATTGTCTGAGAAGTATACTTTCAGAGGCATTACTATGAAAGTATGCATATAAAGCAAATTACAACAACCTGATTTTCAAAGTCTTCATTGAGTTATATATATGTTGTTTTTGTTGTTGTTAAGTGCCATAGAGTTTTTTCTGACTCTTAAGGGCCCTGTATAGTATTTCTGAGACTTTAAATTTTCACAGGAGCATCAAATTTCCTCTTTCTCCCTTGAGGTGACAGGTGGGCTGTAACCTACCTGATTGTCAACCTTGTGGTTCACAATCCAGAGCTTATTATACGGAGCCACCGTGCTTTCCGAACTGGGCATACATAGTACAATTATTCGTTTAATAATTATTATATTTTAGTCTTTCTTTGGATAGAGTATTAGGGTTTGACAATGTGAGGAATATATAAGAAACACATGGGCAAATTGTTGCTAAGTATCAATGATAGTGACCTGTATAAGGTTTTCATGGAGTTGCTGGTGCGTTTAAACCACCAATTTGTGGCTATAAGTCCAGTTCCTCTCCAACAACACTACACCAAGACTACAAAAAGGTTAGAGCCGTACCAATATATGCAATTCTTTCACAATATCATGACACAAGTGAATTTTGTGGTGAGATCAGAAGGCTTCTTAGCTATGGTCTTTTCCTGCTTCAGTATAGGATTTGCCACAGATATTTTCATCCATGTAAATTTCCCAGCTCACAGTATTTTAACTTGAACTTAATTAGTAATCAGCAGCAGAATCAATTACTTACCATAAGGAGCATATCATAGCATGGAATTGATTCTTTCATCAATAAACATCAGCCTTAAGTTAAAAAGAGAACTTTATTTTTCTTTTAGATGCTGTAACTTGACATAGACCCTATAATTCTACTTACACAAATCTTTCTTAGGTCAGTATCCTAAAATATAAATATTTTAAAATCCTCAGTACATGGAGATATTATTTATTAGTGAAAAATGAAATCATTAAACAAAGAATAAAGTTAAATTTTGTTTTTCCATTTGGGAAAATACTGTGACAACATGAAATTTGTCATTTATTTAAAATATACAATCATTTGAAAAATTATGAAGAATTTTAGAATGCATGTTTTACATGTTGTTGTTGTTGTTGTTAAGTGCCATCAGGTTAGTTCTGACCGATAGCGACCCTGTACAGGATTTCTGACTCTGAAAATCTTTATGGGAGCAGAAGGCCTCATTTTTCTCCTGTGGAGTGGCTGGTAGTCTCGAACTGCTGACCTTGTGGTTTGCAGCCCGATTCGTAACCACTACGCTACCATAGTGTCTTAAAATATTTTAACTCACACAACTGTCATATTCATATATTCAGTCTGCTCTTTTAGAGAGAGGGTCAGAAAATAGAGCAACATTCAAATAGCGGTGGCATTTGGATCATGACAAAATGCTATTTTTTTTTTTTTCTTTCTGCACTCTGCTTCTATGTTCTGTAAATAATACATTAAGGGTGTTTTATAAAGTTCATTAAAGTTTTTGACTTTTATATAAAATATCAATATAGTAACACCTACCTTGAGTTTGAACAATGAGCCATATTACAGAAAGCAGAACCAAAGACATGCTGAATACTGAAGGCAGCAAAGTTTCATGCAGCATGAAGATGTAGTCCCAACAGTTGTCCAATTTTATTCCCCTACTTCTTGAAATTGAAACTAATAATTAAAACCTCAAGCCTTCATTGCACAATTGCAGAATATTTCCCAATACTGTTGGGAGATCTCCAAAAAACAGCAGTTTAAAGATCATGAGAATGTTCCTCATTTATGAGAGAGCTGTATATATAGGATTGTTGCTGTTAGTTGGCATTGAGCCAGTTTAAACTCATTATGAAATCACAGCTGGTGTTTTTTTTTTTAAGTTTTTATTGTGAGTTACATGGGTTTACATGGGAGAACATCAGTTTTACATGCATGCTATCTTTTTGGCTATTGTAAATAGTGCTGCTGTGATCATTCGTGTGCATATATCTACTCATTTTATGACTCATGTTTCTTGTGGGTAAATACCAAGTAGAGGAATTGCTGGATCATAAGGTATATCTATTTCCAACCTTTTGAGGAAGCAGCATATTGATTTCCAGAGTGGTTGGGCCATTTTGCAATCTCACCAACAATGTAGGAGGGTCTCAGTCTCTCCACATCATCACCAGCATTTATTGTGTTCGACTTTTTTGATCTTTGCTGTTATTGCTGGTGTGAGATGATATCTCATTGTTGTTTTGATTTGCATCTCTCTAATGGCTAGTGATCATGAACATTTCTTCATAAATTTGTTGGCAGCCCTGATCTCTTCCTTGGTGAAGTGTCTGTTCATGTCCTGTGCCCATTTTTAAACTGGATTATTTGTCTTTTTCTTGTAGAGGTATTATAGTTTCTAGAGACTATCTCCTCCCCATGCAATATACCTAGGCACTTTGTCGAAAATCAGTTGGCTTTGTGCGGATAGGTTAAATTATGGATTCTCGATTCTGTTCCATTGATCAATGTATCTTTCATTGTACCAATACCAGGTTGTTTTGACCACTGTAACCATGTAGTAAATTTAAAATCAGGAAGGTTTTAATTTGTAAATTTTTTAATTTACAAGGTTTCCAACCTTGTTCTTCTTCTTAAGCAGTGCTTTGCTTATCCTGGGCCTCTTTCCTTTCCATATAAAGATTGTAATTGTTTTTTTTGATCTCTTCGAAGAAAGTCATTGGAATTAGGATTGGGTTTATATTATATGTGTACATTGCTTTGGGCAGTATTGACATTTTCACAATGTTAAGTCTTCCTATCCAAGAGCATGGGATGTTCTTCCACTTTTGTAAGTCTGTTTTGGTTTCTTACAGTAATGTTTTGTAGTTTTCTTTGTATAGGTCCTTTGTTTCTATGGTTACATTTATTCCTAGATATTTCATCCTTTGGGCAGCTATTGTGCATGGTATTGCTTTCCTAATGTGTTTTTTCAGAGCTGTCATTGTTACGATAGACAAATCCAACTGATTTTTGTATGCTGATTTTATACCCTGCCACTTTGCTAAATTTTCCAATGAGGTCTAGCAGCTTTTTTACTGAATCTTTAGAGATTTCTATGTATAGGAGAGAGTTTTACTTCCTCTTTGCCCATTTGGATGCCTTTAATTTCCCTATCTTGCCATATAGATCTGGCTGAGACTTCCAAAACAATATTGAATAGGAGTGGTGACAAAGGGCATCCTTGTCAGTTTCTGGTTTGCAGAGGGAAGGCTCTCCATTGAGAGTAATGTAGGCTGTTGGTTTTCTATATGCTTTTAATTATGTTGAGGAATTTCCCTTTGATTCCTACTTTGTTGAGTGTTTTTATCAGGAATGGATGTTGTATTTTGTCAAATGCCTTTTCTGCATCAGTCGATACGATCATGTGGTTCCTTTCCTTTTTCTTATTTATATGATAAATTACATTGATGGTTTTCCTAATGTTGAACCATCCTTGCATCCCTGTTATAAAACCCACTTGGTCATGATGTATTATTTTTTTGATGTGCTGCTGGATTCCATTGGCTAGGATTTTGTTGAGAGTTTTTGCAACTATGTTCATGAAGGATTTGGGGCTATACTTTTCTTTCTTAGTGATGTCCTTCCCTGATTTAGGTATGAGGGCTATGCGTGTTTCATAAAATGTATTAGAACGTTTTCCATCCTCTTCTATATTCTGGAATAATTTGAGTAGAATTGGTGACAGCTCTTCCCCAAATGTTTGGTAGAACTCACCAGTGAAGCCATCTGGGCCTGGACTTCTTTTGTTTGGGAGGTTTTTGTTGACCTGATCAATTTCTTCTTTTGTTAAGGGTCTGTTCAGGCTTTCTACTTCACTCTGTATAAGTTTAGGGAGTTCATGTTTGTCTATCTCTTCTAAGTTTTTGAATTTATTGCAGTACAACTCTTCATATTATTCTGTTATTATCCTTTTGATTTCCCTTGGCTCCATTGTGACATCACCCATGTGGTTTCTAAAGCATGTTATTTGTGTCTTCTCCCTATTTTCTTTTGTTAGGTTTGTCAGTGGTTTGTCAATTTTATTAATCCTTTCAAAGAAACAGCTTCTTGTCCGGTTGATTCTTTCTATACTTTTTCTGTTTTCCATCTTATTTATTTCTGCTCTGATCTTTATTATTTCTTTTCTTTTGCTGATTATAGGTTCCCTCTGTTGATATGTTTCTAATTGCTGGAGATGCTGTGTTAATGTGTTAATTTTGGTTCTTTCTTCTTTTCAGATGTGCGTATTTATCACAATGAATTATCCTCTCAGCACTACTTTCTCTGTATTCCAAAGATTTTGGTATGTTGTGTTTTCATTCTCATTTATTTCTAGGAACTTTGTGAATTCATGTTTACTATCTTCTACTACCAAGTTGCTTTTCAGCAGGATGTTATTCAGTTTCCATGTATTCGACTTTATTTCCTTAGTCTTCTTATTGTTGTTTTCTAGTTTTATAGCATTGTGGTCTGAAAAGATGCTTTGTAGTATTTTGATGTTTTTAAATTTATGAAGACTTGCTTTGTGACTTAACACATGGTCAATTCTGGAGAATGTCCCATGTGCACAGGAAAAAAATGTGTATTGTGCTGTTGTTGGGTTGAATGCTCTGTATGCATTTGTGAGGTTAAGTTGGTTGAGTATGCTGTTTAGTTGCTCTATAGTTATGTCGAGTTTCTTTCTGGTTGTTCTATCCCTTTTTGAAAATGGCATATTAAAATTTCCCACTATAATTGTAGATTTATCTATTTCTTTCTTCAATTCTAGTAGGGTTTGCTTCATTTATCTTGGTGCCTTTTCATTGGGAGCATAGATATTTATTATGGTTATGTCATCTTGCTCACTTGACCCTTTGATCATGAGATAGTGTCCTTCTTTATCTCTTATGCTTGTTTTTGTCTTAAAGTTCACTTTATCAGAGATTAGTATTGCCACTCCCGCTTTATTATTGCAGTTAGCTTGATATATTTTTTTCCATCCTGTAACTTTTAGTCTGTTTTTGTCTTTGTATGTAAGATGTGTCTCTTGCAAGCAGCATATTGAAGGATCTTGTTTTCTTACCCATTATGCCACTCACTGTCTCTTCACTGGCGCATTTAATCCATTGACATTCAGTGTATTTTTTGATAGGTGTGAATTAATTGCTGTCATTATGCTAATTTTTGTGTTGCTGTTTGTTCATTTGTCCTGCATGCCTTCTTCTGCTGCGTTCATGTTTCTTATGCTGTTTCTTGTCAGTTTCTTCTTGTTCTGTCATCTAATTGGATTTTCATTTTCATGGTAAGTTGTGAAGTACTTATTTGGGGTTTCCCTATAGTCTATTAACTCTTACCCCCATTTAAGACAATCTATTGTATCCTGTAATCTACCTGACCTCCTTACCACCTGGAGCTCTGTTTCTGTATTTTTTCTTTCTTTAACAATGTGAATATTTTTATCTTTTTTTTGGCCTCACAGGTCCTCTGGATTCATTGTTGTAATTTTGTTCTGTTCTAAACTCTGCTATCTCTTGACTGAGTTCAAGGTAGTGTTGCCACAACTGTTAATCTTTGGTTGTTGTCTGTTCTTGCTGGTTTTCAGTCCAAAGAACTCCCTTTAGGATATTTTGAAGCCACAGCAGGACTCCAGTCCTTATATTTATCCAAAAGTTTATAAATATACCAGTATAAATTGTACATTTTGAGAAACTGGCAAGACAACATCTTACCACTCAAGATATTGTGAATCTCTCCAAAAATCACTTGGTGTGTGATAAGGGGATGATGAAAATAATTACATGCTTATAATTGGAAAATAGTCAAGATATGTGCAAATATAATTTCCCCTACAATATAGCCTTCACCAATTTATGTTTGAAACATTTTTCTTTGGAGAAATAATATTAATATTTCATTATAAAATTATATATTTTCATGGTCATACATATATTTCAATTATATTGAGAAAAATGTTGCACACCTGTGTCCCAACATCCAAAAAATTACTTTTGTTTGCCTTTTGACAATTTATGTCCATGAGAATATTATGTTTTATTAATTTAAGCTATTATTGTATGTAGACATTTGGGAAATCTATATTTTTTTACATATCAGTACAACATAAGCATTTTTCAAACTCTTGGTTAGTCTAGCATTATTATGTATATATTTAAAATTTTAATTTTGTGTCTGTTTTGTGTGTTTGTGTGATTATACATTTATTTGATTAATTTCTGTTTACTTCTCTAGGACAAATTCCTAGAAGTATCATTTTAAATATACACTGACCCAGTGCTTTTTGAAGAGTTAATACCATATTATATGTCCACTTATGCTGCTTTCTCAATCTCAAAAGCTATATATTTTTAATTGCTGAATTCATTATTTACTGATAAGCAGAAGATATTTTCCCTATATGTAAGTTTTATAATTACATCTCTCTGATTATACTTTTTTGTTTTATTATACCTTCCTTGAGTTCATTGAGTTTCCTCTGCAATTTTATATTTCCTTTGTTAGTCTAGAAGATAAGCATTCTACTTAGTGTCCTTAGTTGTTACAATTAAAATTAAAAAAAAAAATATGTATGCATATGTTAATACATTGGCAGCAAAGTGAATT